ACACACACACACACACACACACACACACACACACACACAGACACACACACACACAGACACACACATACATACACAAATGTATCTTCCATCAGCCTCTTTGTCAGAGGCCTTTTTGCAAATCTTCTGTTTCCTCGGTGAGAGAGCCAGTTAGATCTTATCTTGCAACGAGATGGAAGGAAATCATTTCTGTGCCTGTGGAATCATAGAGAGTTGCTAACATGCTGGATCATTCTTATTTCGCTAAGGTTTCTGTGTGCAAATATGAATCCCCATGCACATACACAGAGTTATTTATAGAGATCATTAAACCATGCCGATGAATCATTACATCAGCTGCGGTAACCTCTTCTGACACCAAATGCTTCTGCATGTCTGCTTTCTGGTAACTGGCTGCACAGGAAGATGATGGATTTTTAAAAAGAAGCAATTGGAGACATGATAAATCCCAGGACACACACAGCAGCTAGAATGAGGTACTATACAGAATTCATGGTATACTTTTCTCGGTGCGATGCATCTTATCAACTGTCTGTTTCACTCTCTGCTTTCAGGCATTTGTGCTGCTGAGAGACCACAGAGGTTTCAAATTTCCTACAAACACTGACATTCCAGCTATTTAGTTTGGAAAGTGCTGACACAAAGCAGTTTGAATCCTGACCTGCTGGAGAGTAGCAGCATAAATTCATGTTGGCACAGTGTGTTAAACTGTGTACAGGTGATGTAAAATCACATCCAACACAGGCTTTAGTCTGCTGTGGGTCACTGAACGTCTATGGATCGCTGGATTCAAGTTCAAGTTCACCAAGCTGTTGCAGGAGGTAGATTTGCATTTAAAATCTATGTAAAAAAACACAACAAGGATGATATTTTAAAGGGACATTTCCATTTGCGATTTATTTTTCAAAGAAAATGAAAATATTAGTAACTTGTGCAACACCCTACAAAACAGTCAGCCTACTGCTTACAGTCCATCCATCCATCCATCCATCCATCCATCCATCCATCCATCCA